AAGTATTTCATTTATCTGTTTTTATATTTTTTGAGGCAAGACTTTTTTTTTTTTTTTGCATCTTTTCTCCTTTTTGGTGAACATTTTTTGGACATTACCATAAGTGGAAAAAGTGACAAATGTGGGGAATGACATACTTCTTCTCAAATCGACATTTTTTGTCATCAAGGAACTAATAGCAATATTTGCATGTAATCAACACCAAATTGGTAATCTAAATGAATAGGGTAAAAACCATAAAACATATAATTTTTAAAAATTAAAATCTTAGCATCACAAAGCTCCTAAAAGGATCCTAGAGCTACCCAAAATCTTGTGCAAAGAATTCTACATTCATGTTTGCCAGTTTTCAGGCACTTACATTGCTAAAATATCCAAAAAAAAAAAAAAAGCAGCATTGAGTGATTGTTGTATAACCACTGCATGAGCCCCACAAGGACTTTGGTAAAAATAGTAGCTCTAAGGTTCATTCTTAATTTGCAGTCACATCCCTCTGTGCCACTAGTGCTGGAAATTGTAAGGTTCTCTTTTTTCTTTGAGTAAATATCTCTGGGAAATTCATATTATTCATTTCTTTAAATGAATTTTCCTTCAATAACTAGGCTTTATTTTAGTTTATTTCCTCAATCTGCCTGTAAATTTGGTAATCTTGCTTTTACAGGTAACCATTGTCAGTTTCTCATTGGTCACAGTTCTATACACATCTCTAGCTTTCATGGGAGCTAAGATCTTTGGCCCTGAAGTGAATTCCCAGATCACTCTAAGCATGCCTAGAGCTCTTATTTTGACTAAGATTGCACTATGGGCAACAGTGCTAACGCCAATGACCAAATATGCACTGGAATTTGCACCATTTGCGATCCAACTAGAGCAGAATATTCTTCCTCGTTCAATGAAATCCAGAACAAAGATGATCATAAGGGGAAGTGTTGGCTCAATTCTACTCCTAGTGATACTAGTACTGGCTCTGTCTGTGCCGTATTTTGAGTATGTTCTAAGCCTTACAGGTTCCCTAGTAAGCGTGGGAATTTGCATGATCTTTCCTTGTGCCTTCTACATAAAGATATTCTGGAATCAGATATCAAGGCCTACCTTAATTCTGAATATGATTCTCATAGCATTTGGCACACTTCTTGGAGCATCTGGAACCATTTCATCTTCTAGGTTGCTTCTGCAAAACTTACGGAGAGCTCATTCAGCCTAGTGATTACTTGGTTAGGAAGGCCTGTGCAAGATTCTAATTATTCCCATCCCTTTTCGGAAGGAATAAAGAGAACTAGAAAGAGATATAGAGAAAATTTCTGCTAAGTTCTGGGATATTGTTGTGCTACACAGCTGTGTTTGAGAAATATATGAATATCAGCCCAAGTGAGATGTATTCCACAATGAACTGCTTTGCTTATGCGTATGCTATAAAGGATAATATTTAGTCTCTGTTTATCCAATTTGATAGCTTATCAGGCACAGCAACTAATTTAGAGCACTTAAATCATTCTTATGAAATGAATATGAGGCAATATCAAGCTGAGGATCTGCTGCTCTTTTTGTCTCCTAACAGAATTTTAGATCTGACTGAGAACAATATTTCCTTTAGCAGATTGGTAAAAGGGCTGAGCAAAAGGAATCAACCAGATAAAACATAACAACCATGAAGAATGAAATAGAAATGTTATTTATGCTTTTAACAAAGTTATGAATGTTTATCCAGCTCTAAGCAGTCCAATGAAAACAATACAAATTTAAAATTTCAAAAGAAAAAAAAAATAAAAGGAGCCCAATTAGATTCCTTTCTCTTACACTGTCATGTTTCCTTTATAATTTAGTGTCATTTCCCCCTTCCAAGGAGGCAAGTCATTGCCAAATGTTCTTCTATCTCATCCAGAGCATCATACTTTAGCTAAAAATATATTCTATTTAACAGTGGAAACTCAAAACCTAGACTTCTACCAAACTTTCCCAGCAACACATATATGGCACATGAGTTTGTGAATTGAATTTTAACCACATAAAGGCTTTGGATATAACATTAAGATTGGTTCAATAATTCTCCAGAGTAGAAAAGATAAGTGATTGCAAACAATTTTAACCTTGTAACGAAATATATCCATCTTATGATAATCCAAGTGAACTATGAATATTTTGTAATGCAGCTTTGATCTTAACGGTGCTTATTGCTAATTTCAACCAGCCATTCAAAACCACTTGCTCAGGTACCATGGATTTTTTGAGAAGAAAGCATTATCAGAGAAATAGGGGAATGATCCCCTGCTTACCAGAAATATCTAAAACAAAACTCAGTTCGTATAATAAGCACTATAACCATCTGAATATGCAGACACCGAATGTAGAGATTTGGATGTTCACTGTTCTGAGTTGCTTCAAGATATTCACTATGCTTGAGGAGAAGTTCTAGCTCCTGATGCTTGTCCTCTAAATAGGTTGCTCTTTCCTGAAGAAAACGAAAAAAAAGGTCAGACCATTGAATCTTGTTTTAAAATCGTCTATGCCCAACAATAATCCAATGTAACCACAAAGGAGAAGTTAGGATCACCTTAAACCAAACATAGATAGTATGTAGCTTGATAAAACAATCAGAAGCATGAGGTTTTATTCTTACTGTGGTTGATTGCTTCATTTTTGGACGTATAAAGCTGAATGCTTAAATTGCTGAGTTCGCTAATCACAAACCTTAATGGCTTCACCCTTTCTTCTGAAATATTGTGATTACATTAATTACTCCCCTAGCGAAGCTGGCATTAAATTCAACATGCATGGAATACAAAGTGTAGAGATGCTATGCTAGTTATCCGCTATATCATTTGGGCCTTGTGTAGATATACCTGCATTGCACTTTAAGGAATATCGGTAATGGCTTAGAGATTGATACCTGGTTATGGTTTTGATGTTACGTCTATTTAGTTAATGATGCTACAAAAAGAAATCTTTTTACGTGTAGATTATTGATGGAAACATTTTATAATGAGAATGCATAAACATGTAATCATTTGAGGTTTCCATACCGGTTATTTTGAAAGTTGTTCATCTGATGTGCCATAAGCTGCCTGCTTTCAAATTTGTCCAACCTTCAGTTTTGGTGCATGTCCCACACCATATTTTTGGGGGTCAGAATTGAACTCTTCCATGTCAGGACACTTCTCTAAAACCACTCGTTCCAGGGATGGTAGATCAACAGAAAAAGACATTGCACAGAGTCTATTTATGTTAGACATGTCTTTGATCTTCATGCTGTATAGTTCCGGCAGTGAAATTCTGTTGTCTTCAGTGTCTTCTTCTCCTTCCTCATCATGGCTTATTAGTTCAACCATATCCTCACAGCTGCTAATGTTTATTTCTTTGAGCTGTTGAAGATATCGAGCCTCAGCAACTGAAAACAGCTTTCTCAGCCTTGAGCATTCACTCACCTCAATAATCCTGAGGTTTGGAAAACAATTATGCTGATATTGATCAACTGATACATCTGGCCTTTTCTCGACAATGCTTTCTAACTTGTTGCACCAGTTTATCTAAAGAACTTCCAGTTGCAGCAGATTTTGAGCAATTGAATATGGAAAGATAACTTTTAGGCTCCCGCAGCTGCTGAGCACAACAACTGTTAGTTTTGCAAGGCGCACTGAAGGAGGAAGTGGTTTTACCCCTCCTCTTCTCCATATGGTTCTCAAACTCTCCAGACCGTTTAACTTTATAATTCTAAGATTAGACAGAAGTAACTGTTGATTCTCAGAACTATTGTTGCCAAGGTCAAATATACTCGACATTTGCTCGCACCATGTTACTTCAACTTCTTCCAAACTCAGTAGCCGCTGGAGTAATGTGGCGGTGATTGCTATCCACATCCGCTTACAATTTAGAATTTTTAAAAACTTTAACTTGTGCAGCGAACCAACTGGAAGTAATTTTGGACATATAACGAACAATTCGTTCATAAGTTGAAGATGTAAACTTTCCAAAGCTGCCAAGATTGCAGGGGCATCACTTGCAGGTTGGTTCATGGATAACAGAAACGAGGTTTCCATACAAGCAACGACCTTAAGATACCTTAAGTTGTTTAAGGTCCCCGGATCAACATCTAAAATACTACTTATCATTTCATCATACAAGCAGAAAAGTCTCAAATCTTCTGTGTTCTGAAGTATGTCCTTCACTCCTTCAGGTATTGAAGTCTTAATTTCTCGGAGAGACAGGCTTCTTGAGTTTGGGTAACATGTCACTGAATCATACCCTTTACCAATAACTATCTCAAATTTTTGTACGTTAGGTATATGAAATTGTCTGGGAACCGATTCAGGATTGGATACTTGGACACATAAAGTAGTCAAGTGGGACAAGGATCTTAATTCTGAAAGACATGCTTTACTTGTGTCTTCAACCATCCCTTGAATTGCCCACTGATGAAAACTCTCCCACATGTGGAGTTCTTCTAATCGACACAAACGCGATATCAGGGTTGCTGGAACAGTCTTGAGCTTTTGGCAGAAGTTTAGGTCTAACAACCTCAGGTTGACTAATTCTCCAATCTCATTTGGTAATTTTTCGATATCACATCCATAGAAGCCATGGTTCAAAGTCACGGTTGCGGTTGCGGTCACGGTCGCGGTCGCGGCCCGGAACATTCCACATCGGTCTCGACATATCGGTCGCGATCTCAGTGAGACGCAAATTTTAAAGTATTTAATATTCTAAAAATTGTTAATAATATAAAAAAGTATGCTAAATAAAAATAATTAAAAAATAGCAAAAGAAACGGCCAAGTCAATCCGTCGCGGTGTGACTCGACTGATTTCTCGTCTTGACTCGGGATAACTCGGAGTGAGTCGGAATGACTTGGCCGAGTCAATCCGTCGCGGTGACCCACTCGGCTGATTTCTCAGCGAGTCAAGTATTTCGGTATCGTTTCGTCACGGTATCGTATCGGTAGGGGCCGAGACGGTGACGACTCGGCCGAGTTGTCTCGGTCTCGGCCGAGTTTTCGAACCATGATATTAGAAGCTTAGAACCTCAAGTCTTTTTAATTTTCCAAGGACTGCTACATCATCCAACTTGCAGTGATTTAAATGCAAAGTCCGAAGGTTCACCAAGGCTTCAAACGAGGAGGGAAGTTTGAAGGAACTGGACGGCATTGAGGTCCATTTGTCTGGTTCAAAATAGCGATTTAGAGAGCGAGCACCAATTTTTTCACTTAAATCCAGCACCCTGAGCGTTGGCATCCCTAGAAAGAATCCCTCTGGTATTACCTCAAAAACCTCATTCTCTGCCAACAACAAAATTTCGAGCTTGGGACAAATTAGGCAATCAGGAAGTGACTGAATATGATTAGTCATGAGAGAAATGATTACTGCATTGCGTTCAAGAGTCTCCTGATTTGGCCACTCCTTCAAGCCAAGACCTGCTTTTATGACGAAACCATGTTCCCCTGTAGATGCCATTGATATGGCAAAGTCACGAACCATATCATGCATTCTTACAGAATCTGCCGTACTGCTGTCCAGAAGCAAGCAACAGTCAGTAAGGTTTCTGATTATCCATCGTGTTTCTCTTCTTGCTTCCTCCATTGTCTCTACATCTGTAAACATTCCTTTTCCGAGTGCATATCTAGCTATGTCTTCAATTTTTATATCATGATCTTCAGGAAACAAGCAACACAATAGAAAACATTCTTTAGCTTCCTCACTTTGCAGCTGATCATAGCTCAACTTTAGGCATGAGAAAATGTCTTTTTCATTGTAGTTGATGTTCAAGGGTTTGGACTTCTTCAGTTGCTGAAGTGCAGCTCTCCAAAGCTCCAGATCTTTGTTTCTTAGTGCTCTCCCAACCGTTACAAGTGCCAATGGGAGCCCACAACATTCTCTAGCAACCTTCATGGCGACATCATCTTGTTGGGGAGAAAATGTATCAGCCAATGACCCTGCATTACTTTTAAACAGGTTCCAGGATTCTTCATCTGACAAGAGTCTCAATGGAATTTCCTTTGTTTTTCTGAGCCCCATAGTGCTGCAAAGATTTCTTTGACGAGTAGTAATCATAATCTTACAACCCTTGCCCTCAAAAGTGACAGGAATTCCAATTTCTTTGAAATTAACAAAATTCCAAACATCATCCAATACAAGCAGGATTCTTTCCTGGGTAGTTAGCCTTTCAAAGAGCCGACCAGCTCTTCCCATTTCACTCTCCTCTTGGAAATATAGACCTAACATATCCCCAATTCGACCTTGAATTTTTCTCACATCTAAATTTCGCGAAACAACAGCAAAAATCACCTTATTGAAAAGGCCACTAGTTTCAGCCATGCTACCAATTTCCTTTGCCTGAGTCGTCTTACCTATGCCCCCCATCCCGTACATTCCTATGATTGCGCAGTTGTCATCCTGCAATGCATCAAAGATCTAATCCACAGCTTCTCTTTGGTGGGAAATAATCCGATTTACCAATCCTCTCTGCTGAGCAATGATCTCACCAACGGTTTTCTTTTGCAGGACAACGTTCTCATTTGCAGTTGGTTTACTTGCTCCGAAAGTGACAGCTTCAGCTTTTCTTTTCATGCTCCTTGTTGAGATATGCCAACTTTTCCTACAGATTTTATCAGATTAAGTTTGATAACAGAATCATTCAATTGGTAGAAGAATAAGTCTTATTGTTAGGATCAAATATTTTAGCTAAGATTTGCTAGGTAGAAGATCATGTTATCAAGTAGTTTTTGTTGAGATTTTCTAGAGAATTGTTAGCTAAAATTATTTTAGTTTGTTTCTTTGTAAGCACTATAAATAGGGTGTTGATGAATGAAGAAATTAAGCTCCTTTTTCAGCCCTCAATATAGTCTTGATATCTTTGTTTATGCTTCAAAAATCAACAAAGTGGTATCAAGAGCCTAAATCTTAAGGGCCTGTTTCTTTGAGAGTGAGTGAACTTGGTGAGAAACCCTTTTCACTATAAAATTATACACTTAAGCCTTCAACATCAAAATGCCAGGAAATAACTTCTTGTCCAATCCTCCAAATTTTACTGGTGAAAACTACCAAATCTGGGCTGTCAAAATGAAGTCCTATTTGGATGCTAATGATCTTTGGGATGTGGTAGAGACAGATCCTGTTCCTGAATTATCGGAAGATCCAACTATTGCAGAAATGAGAGCCCATAGAGATGCAGTCAAAAGGAGATCAAAAGCCGTGACGTGCATTCATTCAGCAGTTTCTGATGCAGTATTCACAAAAATTATGACTTGTGAAACTGCAAAGGAAGCTTGGGATACTCTCAAAGTGCCTTTTCAAGGCAATGACAGAACAAGACAAATGCAGGTTTTGAACCTTAGGAGAGAGTTTGAGCTCCTTAGGATGAAAGACACAGAAAACATCAAAGAGTACTCTGACAAACTCTTAGATGTTGTGAATAAAATCAGATTGATTGGAGAACAATTACCAGATAGCAGAGTTATAGAGAAAGTCTTGGTGAGCTTACCTGAAAGGTTTGAGGCCAAGATTTCCTCCCTTGAAGATTCAAGGGATTTGTCTCAAATCACTTTGCCAGAACTAATCAATGCATTACAAGCACAAGAGCAGAGAAGAGCTATCCGAAAGGAGGAAGCAATAGAAGGTGCTTTTCAGGTGAAAGACAAAATTCAAAATCAACAAGGTGGCAAAGAAAAGAAACAGCAATGGAACAAGAAGAGCAAGAAAGAAGGTGAGTCTAGCAGAGATGAAGGAAGAAGAGGAAAATTTCCTCAATGTCCACATTGCAAAAAGACTTCACATCTGCAACAATATTGCTGGTGGAGACCTGACGTCCAATGTAGGTCATGCAATCAGAAGGGACACGTCGAAAAGGTATGCAAAAATAACAGAAGAGACCAACATGCTCAAGTAGCTGACCAACAAGAGGAGGAGCAATTATTTGTGGCCACTTGCTTTGCAAGCAAGATCTCCTGTGAAACTTGGCTAATTGATAGTGGCTGTACTCATCACACATCACATGGCATATGATGAGTCCATATTCAAGGAATTGGATAAATCATATATTTCCAAAGTTAAAATTGGAAATGGAGATTGTATTGGGGTGAAAGGCAAAGGTAATGTGGTTATTGATTATGGTTCAGGTACTAAAATAATTTATGATGTTTTATATGTACCTGAAATTAATCAAAACCTGTTGAGTGTTGGACAATTGCTTGAGAAAAATTATTCTGTTGTCTTCAAAAATAGGAGCTGCGTCATTTATGATCAAAATGGAGGTGAACTTTTTTCAGTAAAAATGAATGGAAAAAGTTTTTCTCTAAATTGGTTGAAAGCAGGTTCAAGTGCATACCCAAGTTTAGTGGATCAATCTGAATTATGACATAAACGATTGGGCCACTATCACTATTTTGCACTTAACTACATGCATAAGAATAGTCTTGTGCAGGACTTGCCTTTTATAGAAGATAAAGGTGGAGTTTGTGAAGTTTGTTAGTTGGGAAAACAAAGCAGATTGTCATTTCCTCACAACAAATCTTGGAGAGCTTCAGAAAGGCTTCAACTTGTTCACACAGATGTATGTGGTCCAATGAGAACTTCTTCATTAAATGGCAGCAGGTATTTCATAGTTTTCATTGATGACTTCAGTAGATATTGTTGGGTCTATTTCATGAAACAAAAATCAGAGGTTGCTGCTATTTTTTTTAAGTTTAAAAATTGGATTGAAAATCAAAGTGGCAAGATGATTAAAGTGATTCGGTCAGATAATGGAACAGAATATACTTCTAATCAGTTCAACAAGTTTTGTGAAGATGCAGGAAATGAACATCAATTAACTGTCACTTACACTCCACAACAAAATGGAGTAAGTGAAAGAAAGAACAGGACAATCATGGAGATGGCCAGGTGTTTGTTGTTTGAGAAAAAATTGCCAAAGAAGTTTTGGGCAGAAGCTGTCAATACTGCAGTGTATCTTTTAAACAGGTTGTCTACAAAATTATTGAATGGTAGAACCTCGTTTGAAACTTGGTTTGGATATAAACCTTCAGTACAAAACTTGAAGGTGTTCGGCTCCATTTGTTACACACATATTCCTGATGTAAAGAGAGGCAAGCTTGACGAAAAGGCAGAAGTTGGGATTCTAATTGGCTATTGCAGCAGTACCAAAGGTTATAAAGTTTATCAACCTTTGACTGCAAAAGTGATAGTCAGTAGAGACATCCATTTTGATAAATACGCAACATGGGACTGGATTAATTCCAAAGTTGAACATTTCAAGGGATTAGAATCTAAAGAATTGCAGGAGGAGAATATTGATGAATCAATAGATCATATTCCAGTTAGAGGTACCAAATTACTCTCTGACATTTATAACAAATGTAATGTTGCAGTTTTTGAACCTGCAGATTATGAAGAAGCTGCCAAAGACTTGAAGTGGATCGAGGCAATGAAGGAGGAGTTGAGAATGATTGAAAAGAACCAGACTTGGGCACTTGTGGACAGACCAATTCACAAGAAACCCATTGGTGTAAAGTGGATTTTTAGAACCAAATTAAATGCTGATGGTTCCATCAACAAGCACAAGGCAAGGTTGGTCGTCAAGGGATATGCTCAACAATTTGGAGTGGACTTCTCAGATACATTTGCACCAGTAGCAAGATTTGACACCATCAGGTTGATCCTAGCACTTGCAGCTCAAAAAAACTGGAGAGTTTATCAACTTGACGTCAAGTCAGCATTTCTAAATGGCTACTTGGAGGAGGAGATCTTTGTGGAGCAACCTCAAGGATTTGCAGTGAAAGGTCAAGAAGACAAGGTGTACTTACTTCACAAGGCGCTATATGGCCTAAAACAGGCTCCAAGAGCCTGGTACAGCAGGATTGATGATCATCTTCTGAAGATTGGATTTAAGAAGAGTTTGAGTGAATCAACTCTTTATGTAAAAATTGTCAATGATGATATAATTGTTATTTCACTATACGTTGATGATTTGCTTGTCACAGGAAGTAAGCCAATCTTGGTAACTCAGTTTAAGGAGCAGATGAAGCAAGTCTTTGAAATGACAGACTTGGGAGAGATGTCCTATTTTCTTGGTATGGAGGTTATTCAATCTCAACAAGAAATCTTCATAAGTCAGCACAAATATGCAAGAGATGTGTTGAAAAAGTTTAATATGGAAAGTTGCAAATCAATTAGCACTCCAACTGGGACTTAAAATTTTGTGTAAATTATGATTTGATCATCAATTTTGGCCCAAAGTGACCACAAAACCACCAAACAAGTCTAAATAGCTTTATCCCGTATTCTCATCACTACTCAAACCAAATTAAATAAAATTTTTATGAAAAATTTATTCATGATAAATAGAATAAAAACCAAACAGCTGCATCTCCTATTCTCATCACCACTCAAACCACATTCTACAAATTTTGTATGAAAATTATGTTCATGACAAATAGAACATAAACAGCCAACAAGTCAACAAGAAAACATCAAGATCACTCTATTCAAGAGATGAAACCTATTTCATTTTAAATTTATAGATCTCTAATAACAAAAAGAATCCATTTCACTTTATATTCACAAACTCCTCATATTTACCATGTAGAAAATTGGCATGGGGCATATAGCAACTATTGATTTGTACCAATAGGAGTAGAAAAGTAACAAATCATCCATGCAATTATGTGCCTTTTGTGCTTGAAAGCTAACACATGGTATTATCCCAATTAAACCTCGTACACACTTATTGGTTTTGAAGAAGTCTTTTGAACAAAGGTTGCTGGCAAATTATATGTTATCCCAATTGACAATCCTAGCTTCAACTCTAGCCATTAAATTAAAAGACTATTTAAATCTAAACCCACTACAAGGTGAAGCTCTCAACTCGAAAGGACTTTCATTTTTTTCTTGATTTTGGTATACTCTCTTTTTCTTTTTTTTTTCATAATTTTCATTTAATTTCTCCTCTTTTCATTTAATAATAATATTTTATTATTGTTATGTTTTTTTAATAATTTTCATTTAATTTCTCTTTGTTCTTTTTTTTTTTCCTATAAGTTAACAACTAGTGATATTGACTTTTCATAAAAATTTGCAACTCTTTTCTTTTTCTTTTGTGGTTTTTGGGCTGTCAATTTTTTTTAGTATATTTTAGGAAACAAAGAGAAGAAAAAAAATGTTATTATTACTTCAGGAAAAAGTCAAAGAAATTAGTGATGACACGTGGATCTATAAGGGCATTTTTGTCCTCTCATAATAGTTTTGTTGCTGACATCATACCTTAACTAACGCTTTAGGACAGCAAGGGGGTATTTGAAAATCCTTTGCTTAGTCAAGGGATTAGACTATTATTTGATTAAATCTCAAGGTTTGACTAGTAGTTTGGCTAAACCTTAGGGGAGGTAAATGTAATTAACCCATATAAATAAGGAGTGAATGAGGCTACAATAATTGAGTTCTCAAACAAGTACCGTCCTTCACTCCTTCTTGGAATAGGGTGGTCTTACGGGAGAGAACGGTCATTCTATTTATTTATCAAAAGTCTACTCTTTTTCAGATCATCCAAATTTGTCCACATTGATGGATTTTATGTT